CGCCGCGCCCGCGTAACGCCCTTCCCCGTTAACTCTGCCCCGCGTAACGCTCTGCCCCGTTAACTCTGCCCCGCGCTGTTGTGAAGAGGCAGCGTTACGGTCCAGAGCTTGGCCGGCGACCTGAGCGCGACTGAGCACGGAGGGGCAAGTCGTACTGCTCGTCGTTTAGGGACGGCCGGACATGGCCCGGTCCCCGAAGCACCCGCGGTCCTTCGAGGCCAGCCTGGCGGCAGCCTCTCCCCGCGCTGTGCCCGCCGGCTGGCGTCTCGCTGGCGAGGAGAGGCTCGGTGGCTGCAATGGACCAGCTGCGGGCTGCTCGGGCTGCTGCTGGTGCCTACGGGGACACTTGGATGCACTTAAGCAGTAACAAAGATTTTCTCCGTGTTTAGAACTAACCACGACTGCAATGGGAACAGAATCAGTCGTATCCTGCACAAGAAGACGGTGTCTTACACATACAATAGTCTTCCATTGTGCAGTGTTTAGATGTTTTGACGCTAGGGGTTTTTTGTTTGTTTGTTTGCCTTTTCAGTTAGTGTTACGTGGAAAGATCAAAAAAGGGTGATGTACAGATTCGAGAGAAATAAACTTTATTAAATTTATCAGCTCTCATCGGAAATCCTTAATACCATTCTTCAGCTCACAGTATCCCTTCTGGTGCCTGCATTTGCTGCTCTTTACATTTTTAGCTCTGCTAAAAAGAATTAATTAAGGAGATACCACGGATGTGTTAAAGCTAATGAAAGTCACTGGAAAAACAGCGAGCTTCTATTTGACTTTGATGTCACGCTCTAGGCTGAACACTTCGGATTAGGAATTGTTAGGGTTTAGGGTTTACTTTGGAAAACGTGATGCACTGTCATTTGATGGGAAAGTGTATCAAGCAGCTGACTCCTTAATACTAATTTTACCGTGTGAGGATAAACGACAGTTGATCAAGTGTCTGTGTAGATAAAAATTCGTCCAGAATTAGACTATGTTTAGATGATGATTTATTGGTAAACATTGAAGACTAAGATTTTTAAAGTAGAGCATTTAAGATATAATACATCATGCATTTTCCTCTTGCCTTTTTTTTTTTTCTTTCCCCTTTTCTCTTTTCCCTTGCCAGCTAATTCATTTTTCAGCTAGAAAAATACTGATTTGGCATTTCTTTTAATATTCTCTCGCACACACAGACTTGGAGAATGTCCTTTTCTTTATGCAGTACCTTGGGTTTTTTTAACCTCTGCAGGGAAGGAATATGATTATTATTTTCCTTTTAAATTAGAAGTGGGTGTCTTGGGCATTCATCTGTTGCATTGTTGGTATTATATTATAACTGAGTTCTGGTAATTCAGTGAGGAGCACTAAGACTTTTAATTAAATGTTAATAATGTGATGGTGGGACCTTCTAAAACTCACAGTTGAATTCAAGTGCTGGCCTGCCAAATTTTTAAGCCATTTGCTGTCTTCTAAATTTCTTTCTTAAGATCTGTTATAGCTGCTAGGAGGTGCTAGCACTATGTAGATATCACTGTGTTGTCCAGTCAAAGAAGTAATAAAGCCCTCTCTAATACAAAGAAGTTTGAAAAGTCTGACTGCACTGAAATCCTGGGGGATTTTTAACATGTACAAGAATGTTACTAGACCCATGGTTTATACCTTTAGACTTACTTTTGTTTTTCCACTTAATAGTTATTTGGTAATAATCATAACGTCGGATGGTAAGTATTGCTCTCTAATTGTTAGCACCAGTCAGATGTCTGTGGAGAAAATTATGTAACAGAGCTGCAATGCTTTGAAAAACATTATTTGAGACATCACAATGAATTCCCATGTTATTTTTTAGAACAGAACAGTTCAAGAACATTTTGCACCTCAAAGATGAGAACAGTCTGTAATTCTAGGGCTTTTTTTTTTTTTTTTTAATTATTTTTTTATTTTGAAGTTGGTAGAAGATTTACTGCGGTCAGAAACCTGGAGTTAATTTTAAGGGGTTTTTTTAGTTCAGCTACACATGTTGTTTGTTCTTGTGTTGTTTGAACATTAAGTAGTCATGTAGATTTTCTTATAAAATCGAATCAGAAGCTGAAAGGCAAGTGCATTCTGTAACAGTGTTTCTTAAAGGTATGCATAAGTTGCGGTTAATGCAAACTTGCTGCAGTGCTATATAGTGTTCCTTTGGAATCTTGGTTCATCCACTTTCCTGTTGGAATGTGTGAGAATCAAAATAGTAGTAGTTTAGAAAGGAATAAAAAAACTTGCTTTTGATCTCAAAGAATTAATTCTTTTATTAAAAGGTCTAAGTATCTATCATGGTAGAGAACTGGAGCTATATATCTGTGAACAGTGTGAATAGTAGGGACAGGGCTAAGGAACAAACACAGTAAAGTAACTTGATCTATGGTGTCAGCTGCTGACATCAGAGGAGATGACCCCTGGAGTACAGGTGTTTCTCAGCATCTCACAAATCGGAAGTGTAACTTGACTCCAAGAGGTGATGTATATAGGATGCTTATAAAGTTAAGTGAAATTTGTCACTCAAAAGAGAAATGAGGGGTGAATGTCAGCCTAGTGTTAGCAGAATATGACTGGTGCCAGTCTGTTAGACAACGGATGGTGGCAGGTTGGTCAATATTTCTAAGTCTGTAGGTGTAGGTTTTTAAAACGACTTTTCAGAGTTTAGTTCAAAACTGTTCTCTCTGTGTTATCTCATGGAAATGGGGAGTTAGAGGATTCCTTCCCACATACATACACATGTGTATATTGTACACTTTACTCTGAAATGTCAAGAGAGATTGCTAATGGGACATAGTGTTTCACATATTAAGATTGAAGAATGTTGTGTGGACTTAGGTTCTCTGTTTCTGGAGACAAAAAAACCAGATGCTTTGTTAATGTAATCTGTTTAAGCAAAAGTCAAGTTTCCTATTTCTTTATAGGGACCTCTTTGGAGTAAGGTCCCTTTTCAAAAATGAGCAATCCTCCCCTGCTGTAATCTTGATATAGAGAACATTTCCATTATGGTTGATGACATTTAACCATTCAAAACATTCTGCTGGCTTTATTTGGAGAACGGTACTTGTAAGTTATTTAGCTGGTATTGGAAGGAATAATATTGGTAAGTTTGCATTCTGATTTCCTGAGAGAACAAGGCTTAGGCAATTGCTCTGTTTATCAGCTCACCTAAACAAATTTTGAAGCTGTTACCGAATATCAACCAAATTTGAAAGCAGTGTCGAAGTCTTTAAGGTAATCACCGAAAATCAATGGCTATTTGGGAGAAAGATCCCCAAAGAATTTTCTCTTCTGCGAGAGGAAAGGTAGAATTTAGCCATTATCTAGTCCATTCAGTCTGGTTAGTCAACGTATATAGGGCTCTGGCTTCAAGAATCTGACGGAGAATATGTTGGTTCTGGAGGGTAGCCGTCTTACATTGTGCAAAATTCTGTGTATATTTAAAAAAAAAAGGAGTTATTTAATCAAATTTCAGGATTTCGTAACAGGTAACAAGCCTTGTTCACTGAAGGTGTACTGCATTCTATGCGTATTCTTTTCACATTCATGTGCTACTGACTGTTTTTGCAGATAAACTTTTGGTGATCCGGAAATTAGGAGTTTATTTTTTATTATTTTTAAAAATATATGTATACAGACCGATAATCACTTCTAGAAACTATCTTAGATATATTTAGTGCTGCCTGATCAATAGCGGTTAACCAGCCTCAAAATTTGGGAGATGCTGCTCTGAAAAATATGTTGCGATTGCTTGTAGCTTTTAAATTCAAACTTGTTGTCCATGTTATTGTCTTATAGTTTAATAACTGGTTCAGAAAGTGAAAGCAGAGGGTATTAATACATGTTTCAGGTTTAGAATGTGAGAAAGAAAACCATAGTAGTTAAGGGCTGATAACTAAGGTATTAGAAATAGGTAGAATTGCCCAGACTGACTGGAGACATGAATTTATGTGTTTTTTTGTGTACGTGCTTTAATTTAAAATAGCTACAGCCAAACTGAATGAGGTAGGTCTTGTACAAGAATGCGTAAATTTCTCTGAGCAACAAATAGAAACATAAGATGCGCTTTATGTTTAAACCCCTTATTATTTTTTCCTCCTACAAGTTTTTTTACAAGTGTCGTTCTTATTAGGCTTGAAATACTAAAGTCAGAACAGTGGTTCCTTAACCTGTTCCAAAAATCTGCTTTAAAATAATACAGCAAACAATCATTTTTAATTAATTCAGGCTGGAGGAATGAATCCACCCACACATGTTCCAATTCCTTATCCAGCTACTTGGACTGACAGATTTTGGAGATTATAGTATTTTGGAATAAGAGGCAGCATAAATTCCTGATGCAGGGTTTCTTTTTTTTTACCCACTGAAGTCCAGGCTCCTTATATTTGTAGGTCAGGAATGGTGATAGGACACAAAATACATGCAAATGTGAACCAGTGTGCATACTCAATTATCTCCTTTTCTTTAACAACTTTTTCCTTAGATAATAAGCCCTTAACTACTGGGTATTTTTCTTCTGAGTGAGAGTTCTGTTTAGAGTATCTGAGAGTTTGTATCTCACACACTAACAACAGTATAGACCAAATCTTGCTTATGGTTGTAAAATGCAGACAAATATGTTATGTTTGCTGAACGTATATATTGACTCCATCCATGTCTGTGAAACAGGAAAGGGAATTTCTTGATGTTTGCCATTAAAGCTAGTTCATGAGCTGGCTGCTGTTAATGACAACTACATGTTATTTATTTTCTTGTACTGGCTACTGTAAGTTGATAGTTCCTGCTTTTCCACAGTCATGATGTTCTCCTCAATCTAAATATGTAGATAAGAGAGGTACTGAGCAAAATGACAATGATTTTGGACCACTTCTGTACCATGGATAAGGTAGAGATTAGACCTTTTTTTTTTTTTTCAACATTTAAAAAAAAATTATTTTTATTTAAAAAAGCTAAGGTTTCCAGTAAAAGTAACTTGAATTTGTGTGATTTTTGTTCTGAGAAATAACAAAGACCTCACAGGATTCTTGCAAAATTCAAACCAGATAGCTGTTAATACCCTCATTTTTTTCAGTGGTTCAGTCTCCATTTGTTACACCTTAGCATCACAAGGATTTTGCTAGGACTCTGGTCCCTGCCAGATTCCTCTAGCAGACATTATCTTTGAATCAGACCTTGTAATAACATTAGTAAAGCAGCTGTAGCAGTATTATGCCAAAGAACTCTTGTGAAACCTCAGGAAGAATAATGAACGTTCCTGCAGAGTGGATTATCCAAATATCATTGCAACGCCTTGTTCTGTCCCAACTGACCTGTGTATCTACTACTGTCATGATTCATGGATTTAAGATGTAATAAAAAAAATAATTGCCAAACAGTGAACAAAATAGGATTTTAAGAAATTATTTTTATAGCTATATCAATTTTTGTTTAATGGCGGGTGACTATCTTGTTTTTCTTCACCTACCCCAGTGAGTGGGGGCAGTCTTTGAGATCAGTTAGAAAGAATCAGAAGAATTCTTCAGAAAAGTTCAGAAAGTGCCTCTAAACATACTGTGCCTTTCCCACTGCTACAGGAAAATGGAGCAAAGCTGGGGGTTGGCAATCAGGAACTTAGAGGTGGAAGAAAAATAAATCAGAAGCACTCTTTTTCTTGCGCACTTCCAGTGAGAGTTGATTTAGGATTTAATTTGGTTTTCTACATATACACCAGCTCTTCAGATGAACTCAGAGTGTTAGATGCCACTCAGGCTACCGTTAGGTTTCGATGGATGATGCTGAACATGGCAGTGTATTCCTCTGTTTATGCTAGCTGCTCGACAGCCTGTAATCCTGTTCCACAGAAATAGTTGGATAATCTCTATTATAGGGAAATCCATTATATATTAACTTCCCTGACATACATCCTGCACTGAGAATGCAGAATTACTGCTATAAGTTTGTTGCTGAATTAACTTTTAGGCTGGGAGAAAGAATAAATAAATAGCATTATTTGAACATATTACTGTGTTTCTAAATATGTATGATAGAATACTGTGTTGCAATGATAACTATTTTGTGCATTCTCTAAACCTGTCTGCAGTGGTAGGTAATATGAATAGTCTGGCTTTCCCTAAAAGCCGGAGAGCTCTATGAAACAAGAAGAAATCCATGCCTTTTAAAGAACGCAAAATAACGTCAATAAAACATACAGGGCTTTAAAATTTTATATTTGAAACCACCAGGAATAGAACATGAATGTTTGTGCAAATCCCAGAGCTGGTGATTTGAGTGTGGTGCAGTTACACATCTGATTTAGTTCTGTGAATTATGCATGCATTTTTTTGTAGTGGCAACAAAAAGATGATTGCAGAGCATCAGAAGTACACTTTATGTGTTTAACCTTGAGCCATCATTGGCAATAGTGAATTTGTTAATTTTATCTGAAAAAAAATATTTTTGGTACTATTTCATCCCCGTGGATAATTTTTTAGTCACCTTTTATGACAATTGTGGAAAAACCCCAACTATGTATAAGAACTTCCATATGCTGTACGTGGTATAAAACAGAGTATGTTTTTCATTGTTTTTTGATTTTGGTATAATTGGAGAATATTTTCTATTAATCATTCCTTTTTAAAGAAGAATGAGCCCTCATACAAAAAGGTTTTCTTTACCATGGGGAGAAACAAAATATTTAAAAATATATTTGTAATATGCACACTGAATTCTTCTCATAAGCACAGTGTATTTCTACAGTTGGGCACAGCCATCTAAATTGGTTCCATTGTGTTAAGGTTGTGTGTTGTGTGGGTTTAGGGTCTATGTAAGTGTGCTTCTCCCTCCCAGTCACTTTTGGCATGCTTATATAGTAAATATGGCAAATATTTTCTAGATTCAGAGTAGGTGGGAAGCTTTTACATGCATACCCTATAATCACTGATTATGCATGCAGCTTCAGATTCCTCTCCCAGCTGCAGCTTTGACGTGGAGAATAAGGCAGTCGTTTGCCAGCAAAGTTAATAGTTAAATTCTTGTATCAACTTCATAGCTTGTTAACTAGAGGGAAAAAGGCACTGAGCCTGCTTGCCATATTGGTAGGAGTTATTTAAAAGTGACTTAGAAGCTCATAGTTTAATTGCTGAAATAACTTTTGTGGCATAGAAAAGTGATGGGGAAAAGCAGCAGCAATAACAACAATAATCAACATCATCATCAAGAGCTTGAGTCAGTTCTTGGGGACATTAGACACTGTCCCGAAAGGATAAAGTGGAACTCAAGTTGTTACACTGAGTCATTTGTCTATTCATTGAAAATACACCACCTCCTTTGGTAAGTTTTGTTCCTCTAATTGTTTAACTTCTGGCTGTCCTTCTTAGATGATAAACCTGAAGGGATCAATGGATGCAGCTGTGTTCTAATGAATTGATTCTTCATGGTGCTAACAGATCTGTGGCTGTACAGTACTTCGTGTCTACTTATAATATCTATTTGTCCCAAAATATCTACTTAAAACTTATATGATTCAGTTATTTTGCTGGTCTGCTTCTTGCCTTCACCTGTTGTCTTTCATCTTGATTAAGTCCTGTAATATAACTCAAAAGAAAAAAATTACATGTATGTCACTAGTAAGAGAGAGAACAGTACTTGGTTTGGTATGTTAATTTGGACAGGGAGTAAAACTGCATGTATAGTTCTGGGAACAGTGTTTCTATGTTTTTCATTATCTATACAAAATCTGCATTTTAGTAATTTGTGGCTTTTAATTTGACCACATGGCTTATTGATATCTGTGCAGTTTGACCGTGCTCATCTTAAAAACATTGCTTGAGGAACATAAGGTACTTTTTTAGGGGAAAGGTTTGGGAGAGAAGGCTATTTATGTCTGCCTGTAAGAATGAAAATAAAAATAGATATTCTGTGAGATGACTGCTAATAAACTAATTGTTTCAGGAATTAACCTTTGCTGTTATTAAGCTTTGTCTTTGTATTACAGGCTCTTTAGGTTTAAAATAGAAGTGCCATATATACAGAAGGTGATATGGTGCTGGATCACGTGTATAACGTAGTTCAAGAGAAAAATTGTGATGATGAGCAAACTAATGAAAGATATACAGTCATTTCAGACAGCTAATGCCCTCAGGGTTTTGATCTAAACAGCAGATATAGGAGGGTAGAAACACAGATTTATTAAGTTATCTACTCTGAGTATAGGATTTGTTGTTGGTGTGAAAATGTTTGTGGAATTAGCTTAGATTGGTTAAGGCTGATGAGCGGTATCAGCTCAGTAGCTCTAGGGGAAATAGGTATTTGAATCTGAGATTTATGGAAGGGTGTAAAGAACTTGGTGTGAAAGTGCTGGTAGAGTAATGACATTATATAACTGATTGTTGAACAGGTTATATGAACAGCCTCACTGGAGGGGAAATGGAAGCTTGCAAATATGATGCTAATATTTAAAAAGGCCTCACATGCTGAACTTGTAACTATAGGTTTAGAACTGAACACAGTTGTAGACATGATAAAGAATAGAATTAGTAAATACATGGATAAATATGTTGTCCTGGCAAGAGCCAGAGTGGCTTTTGCATATTATGTGGATAAGCCTTCAAAGAATTTGTATTAGACATATTATTAAGGGCTATTATAGTAGCCTAGGATTTTCAGAGGAGTGTTTGAGAATATGCCTGAGTATCTTAACCTATGGTATCATAGAAAAAAAGGGAAGAACTCAATTTATGGAAGAATTCACAAAGGTTTTGATGAGGTATATGACTGTCTAGGATGGAATTAGTCTTAGATCGAACTGATAGATAGGAACATTAGTTATATTGGAAGCTCTTCAGTAATTTGTTTTAATACTAGTACTGGTGTGCAGAACCTTTTCCCTTCAATTAACATGAGAAAATGCAACATTCAATTAAACAGGGTGCACCCAGTTTCTTACGGCTCTGTTATTAAGGATCCAGTAAGTAGCAGGTGTTCTGCCTTATCTAACTGTAAGCTGCTATGAGTCCTCAGGACTTCCAGTTCTACAGACAATCATTTATAAACTCATCAATTGTGAATCTCTCCATCTCTATGGAATATGGCATAATTTTTAGACAGTCTGCTTTAAAAATGGTGAAATCTGTTGCAGCTCCAGTGTAGACTCTGCTTTTAATTTTCTACCTCAGTTCTATGCATTTGTGAAACAAACCAGTTGCACATTTCTCATGCAAAAATACTCATTGTCTCACTTTTCCCTCAGTTGTAAATATTTTCATACGAAGATTTATACCTGGAAACATGAAGAATCACAGCACAGAAAATACCAAGATAGAAAAAGTAAGGCTTGAACAGTTTTGATATAAGTTGTTGCCCTAGCTTGTTGGTAAATGCAAAGTGAAAACAACCCCTACTGTGACGTGCATAAGGTGGGCTTTAACTACTACCTATCTTCCTCTGTTATTACAAGTCTTAATTTATGTTTGTATGTTTATTTATGTTCAGGAAGTTATGATGTGGTAGCAATAACTGAAACATGGTGGGACAACTCACATGCCTGGAGAATAGCAATGGATAGGCTGTTTCATAAAGACAGGGAAAAGAAGAGGTGGAGGAGTCATGCTCTATTTTAAGGAGAACCTTGAATGTATAGAAGTCAACTGCGGCAATTGTGGATGCCCTATTGCATGCCTCTGGGTCAAGATCAGAGGGGTTGTCTCCAAGGCAGATCTTACAGTAGGCATGTGCTACTGACCTCCAAACCAAGATGATAAGGCTGATGAAGCAATAATTCGGTCACTTCAGCAAACTTTGGATCAACAGAATTCTTATAGGTTACTTCAACTACCCAAACACCTCTTGGAAGAAAAATACAGCAGCTTGCATGTCATCCATGAGGTCCTGGAATGCATAGAGGACTGCTTCCTCATGTGCCAGCCAGAAATGAGGCACTGTTGGACTTGCTACTCACAAACCAAGAAAACCTGCTTTGTAGAATCATGTCATTTCGCGATAGCCTTGGCTGCAATGATCACAACATTGTGGCGTTAGGGATACTGCTGAGCATGCTGATGGTTAGTGCTAAGACAAAAGTTTTAGATTTTAGAAGAGCAAACTTCACCTCACTCAGAGCTCAGTTGGGAGGGATTCTGTGGGAAGCTTCCATGGAGGATAGAAGAGCTAGCAACTGCTAGGAGTTTTTAAAGAATTCTCTCCTGGAAGCACAAAACCAGTTCATCCTCTTTAAAGGTAGGAGAAGTAGGTGGAGCAAGAGATCCCTTTGACTTAACTGCGAGCTTCTGAGTCTGCTCAAAACCAAAAGAGAAGCATACCAGAGATGGAAAAGTGGACTAATACCCATTGAGAACTACAAGGGTATTGGTAGGGCATGCAGAGATGCAGTTAGAAAAGCAAAAGCTCAGCTTGAATTGAAATTGGCCAGAGATGTCAAAAATTACAAGAAACGATTCTTCACATATGTAAATAACAAGGAGAAAGAGCAGGAAAATATTGACCTGCTGTTAAACAGGATAGGTGAATTAGTCACCAGCAGTGCTGTATAGGCAGATTTTCTCAAGACTTTCTTCACCTCTGTCTTTTCCAGCACTGTTGGGCCCCCAGGCCTTGGGAACGAAAACCTGGGTCGATGCAAACACAGACCCACTGTCAGTGAAGGAAGAGTTGGTATGTGAGCTATTACAGGAGTTTGACCCCTACAAATTGATGGGTCTTGACATTATCCACCTGAGGGTGTTAAGAGAGCTGGCTGATTTCATTCAAGGCTGCTCTTCATAATCTTTGAGAAATCGCGGAGATTGGGGGATATCCCAGAAGACTGGAAGAAGACTAATGTCACCCCCATGTACAAGAGGGGCTTAAAGGAGGATCCAGGAAATTACAGGCCCATCAGTCTTACTTCAGTTCCTGGGAAAGTCATGGAATGAATCCTCTGGGGGGCTATCACAAGTCAAGTGAGGCACGTGACTGGGAAAAGCCAGTGTGGATTCACAAAGGACAAATCATGCTTGAAAAGCATGATTGCTTTCTGTGACAAAGTAACCTGCTTGATTGATGTGGGGCGAGTTGTAGACACTACCTGGATTCTCCAAGGCTTTCCATATGGCTACCAACAGCATCCTAGAGAAACCAATGCATTGCAGTCTAGACAAGTGGTCTGTGTGGTGGGTGAGGAAATGGCTGACAGACTGCACCCAGAGGTCTTCTTTCTAACTGGCAACCTGTCACAAGTAGGGTCCCCCAGGGATTGATACTGGGCCTAACACTGTTTAATACCTTCATAAGTGATCTGGATGATGGGATTGGGTGTACCCTGATGAAGTTTGCTGAGGATACCAAACTGAGCAGCCTTGAAAGGGAGACCCACCCTGCAGGAAGACCAGTGGAATAATCTCCCCAGGGAAGTGGTGGATTCCTCAACATGGGACACTTTTAAGACGCAGCTGGAGAGGGTGCTGGGCCATCTTGTCTAGAGCATGCTTTTGCCAGAAAGGTTGGACCAGGTGATTCTTGGGGTCCCTTCTAACCTGGTATTCTATGATTCTCTGAAAACAGAGATATTTCTTCTGAGTAACTGTTGCATGGGCTATCAGTTATGTATGGAAGAAGCTGAATGGCTGAATAGTATGTGCCTAAGATTACTTGACAGGCACCCAGGGTCAAATGTGACTGGAGGAGCATTTCTACTGCTCAGGTACATAGCTTTGAATATAGTGTGTGAAGGGCACTTGTTTTAGACTCTACTTGTCCCATAGAATAGAGTTCTTTCTAGGAATTGGAGGGAATTTTGGCTCACAGTCTGAAAATAAGTACTTCCAATTAATTGAAAATTCATTGATGAATTAACCCATTAATTGATCTAAGTACATCTGTAATATACTATTTAGTTTTAAAATGAGTCAACATTATTAAGACAATCTAGAATGAGGTGAAATTACCGTACTCAATCTGTTTAATAAACTCGAGTAATTACTAAATTTCATGTTAAAAAGCCATTATATTCTGCACAGGAGACCTTTAAATCACTTCTGGAGTTAGTTAAAAAATGTAGCATCTGTCTACAGTATGACAGTTCCTGTACAATTATTTTCTGGAAGTGAAACAGTATGTATATGTATTCCCCGCTAAACAAATCCACAGAGAGTCCAAGGAAATAATTTTCTCTCATTCACTACCTGGTTTTCCTTTATGATTGTTAGTTGAAATATATGAGTAAAATACGTTTTGTGGTGTGTACTCATTTTAGTGTGAAAGTTAGGTTTGTTTGAATTTACAGTGAAATTCTTACTGGCTTCCTTGCAGCAAGAATTTCATTCCCAGTCCTTATAAAGGAAGCATACAACCCAGAACATAACATTTTGTTCTGTCTTAATGTTCTGCTGAACATATGTGTAAGCGGTTTAGTTCTACAATGACTGGAAGAACAAGAGGAGCCAGAGGGTCCCAGAGCTGTCAGAATGAATAGTTAAACTGAAGCATTAGCTATAGTTGAAAACTAGGGAGTGAGTCGCTAAGGAGAGCTATTAAGAAGCATTTAGTGGTGCTTCCTATTTAAATGAGGCTTTGTTTCTGTGTTTGTGTCAGCTCCCTTGACTTTATATTGGTACCTAAACTGTGGACAAAAACAATTAGCTTTTAAGATACACTGATTGTGGAAATGGCATGCAAGGGGAAGTTCTTTAAAATTACATATACAGATCCATAGTAATCTCTTCTGTTAGGAATTAAACTTTTCTGTGTCCAAGCTGAGATGTTTTCACTGTTTCAGCTGGGCTCAGCAAACAACTCTTCTAAATCTGAGATGATCAAAATATTTATTGGCATGTCATCAGATGGTATTTCTAGAATCCCTGTCTTCTGTTTCATGAACATTAATCACTCCTACGTGTGCATTTATGAGTGTATATATGTTTGATGAAAAACTTGACCAGTGGTAAATTCAAACAGATAGATAATTCTTTATGTACAAATAATTATTGTCAATTTTACCAGTGCAAAGAAACTTCAGCAAGGGATTCAGCCTTTATTGGATAAAGTGTCTTAAGAAGTAAGCTCAAGGTTTTAGAGGCTTATTCTAAAAGAATTTAGATTCATTTTTATTAGCAAAGCTTAGTGTGTATCTGGCACCTTATTTTAGATTTTAAGGTGGATTTAATGTGTAAGACTGTATTTAGGCTTATTGGACATAAAGACATTTTAAGATACGATGCTTCTCAGCATTAGTTTCCACTAGGTAATACAATTAGCATGAAAGAAAATGAATGTATTTGTTTTACATAATTTACTTTTTTCTTTTTTAATTAGCAAACACACAGAAGCTGTTTTCTTCCTGAATATCTTTGCAGCTTTGTTCTAAAACAAACCCTGAAATTTTAACCTATTTAAACTCTAGTTATTGTTAGTGGATTTTATATCTTACCAAAATCTTCTTGCATATTCTTAACTCAGTTTTTGTCCTGCACCATACAATTGAAGACTTTGGTTTCATCACAATGTCTGTTGCTCTACCTAAGATGCAACATATATGTTTAGAATTACTGCATATTACTAAACTGCATTAAAATTCCAACTGAATTATTTAGGACTTTCAGATTTAGGGAACAGTTTTGAGTGAATCTGTATTTTTGATACTAGACTATGGATATAGTAGTTATAGAGATATAGACAGTGTAGTTTAAAGCAGACAGATTGGCTGCTAGACATGGTCTAGCTGTGGCAGTATAGACTGATTTATTGTAAGGAGAAACAAATAAGGAGACTGTAAATATTCTAATGTACTTTGTTTTTTTTTAAATAGTATTTTTGAGAATATTCTAGACTAGAGTTTCTATTTCCCATCCTTGTAAGAAGCCTTTTGTGTTCCAGTATTATTATTCTTCCGTCACCTTCCATCAGTGGAATGTCTCTTTATAATTTCCATTAAATGGAAATTACTTGTATCTATCTAGAATAGATGTGTGCTTGGAAGATGAGCTAAGCTGTTCTTTCTGCATTCATAATGAAGCTTGTACACTGCTATTTAGATAAGTGCATTGTGCTTTTGGTATAGTGGATGTATAATGGAATACTGAATTGATTATATTATTCTATTAACATTATTGAATCTAGTAGGTTCATGTCTTCTGCTCATAGAAGAAATTATCATTGGATCTGACAGTTTACTTGGTACAAGACCTGAAAGGAAAAGATGAGGTGCACACCCTTGGACAGTTTGTTGTTCAGTCTTCAACCTGATAAAAAGGCTCGAGGGGATTATTTCAGTAGGCCAAGAAACAGAAGTAGTGTTTCTCTTGGAAATATATTGTTGTCTGAGAAGAGCATCTGTAGGTGTGCCAACCTCTGTCTTCCTTAGAAAAAGTGTCAATTTTTTTTTTTTTTGCAAAGGAAGGGTCAATCCTGTCCAGAACGTACTTTTGAAAAATAGTAACATTTCTGAAGACAGGTGCTTTCTGATACTGGATGGTCTATTGGTGCATTCAGTTACTTGAAATTGTGATACGGGATTATTTGTTTTCTTTAAAATCTGTAATTGATCTACTTGAATTATACTGACCCAAATAGAGAGAGGCAGGGGTCAGGTTTCCTTCCCAGATATGAGTATTCCAGCACAGTATTGCATGCATGTCATCATGTAGGGGTATGTATTTTTCAAATATATCCTGTTATTACAATCTTTGTGAATATGGATACCCCCCACAGGTATCAGTTGACTAGATAAATAGCAACATGGCAAATATGTGGTTTTAAAATGTGATACTTTTATTAAGGCAGTCCTCAGTAGTGTGGAGAGGATGGTGAAGCTGGCCATAGAAAGTGCTGTGTAAATAGTTAGATATACTGTCCTTTACTTAAGACTGCTACACTTTCAAAGTTCTTATTCTGCAAATGCTTACATGATCAGTATGGGACTTTTGAAAAATATCCAGTTATTGTTGGCAGAATGCTTTGTGTTTGCAAAGTCAGACCCTTGAAGGACAAGTAATGCATGAAGGATGTAGAAGGTTAGTCGCCTTCTAAATCAGTCAGGTCACAGTATATTTTTTTGTCTTTGCTAATAAACTCTTGCAAACTTGATATTTGAACAACATAAGCAGGAAGTTATAAATTTAAATAGAGGTTAAAAAACAGTGTTCTGGATTTGCATCTGGATTTTGTTACCAGTCTTAAGATGCTACCCAGAGCAACAGCATGCAGCATGGGAAATCTGATAACCCTGTGAATCTTTCAACCTTATGCATTCTAATCTGAGCATGGTTTCCTGTAGTATTGCTGATATGCCAGATAAAACAATCTTGGATCCAAAATCAACCTCTGTTATAAAAGGATGCTCTCTGTTACCCCTATTTGTCCTGTAATCTGTGATTAACTGTTCCCCATCACAAAGGGAAAAACATTATTGTATTCCGTTTTGTGTGTAGACTTGCTTCCAAATGAAAGCAATTGTGGTTTACGTGACTGTTTTGTTCAAGTGCATTTAAGTATTATTTTATGCTACATTTAAATGTAGAAGTACTTTTATTCAAAGCAGCATCTTCAGAGTAACTAACTACTTTCATGTTTCTTCAGTGGCAGTAAAACATTTACTGTGATTTGGCTTGCCCAAAGTAAGTATTTCTTTCTAATCGGTTGAAATTATGTACAATAGATTACATTGTCTATAGAATTAAACTCTTAACAGCAAAATGTGCTGTTTTTTAGAAAAATTGGGAAAAAAAATTGAACAAATAAAATAATTTATTTTGCTGTCTCCAAGTGCTGCATATAATTTTTGGATAAAAATACCAAGATCTGGTTCCTTCCTTTTTCCTCTGCCTGGGCAGACTTCCATCAGAAGTTTATATGTGAGTTCCAAAATCAACATTTCAGTACTACACTGAGAGCACTTTGGTGTCTTTCTGCTCTGAAATATGTAGAGTTACACAATAGCCCCCCCCATCTCACTTAAGAATTTTCATATTTGTAAAGAATCAAGAAAGTTTTGAGAGGAATGATTCTTTGTCTTATGCTGGAAGTGTCTTAACTTTAGATTTCTCCAACAACTCAAAATTCTGGGGGAAGTATCTACCCCAGTTAACATTAGGCATGTAGCTTGATTAGGGAGATATTCTTTCTGTCAATCACTAATATAGTTACTTTGTTTCATACAGCACTTCAGAGTACAAGGCTGAGATGCTCTAATTTGTCTTCTGAAGGAGACTTGCTCTTACCTGAAGAGCGAGATTAACTGCCCTCAGTTAGGCACTTTACTTTCTTGTCAGATACCTTGTGAGAGAAAAAGGGCAGGTGATGAGGAAAAAGCTAATACAAGTGAATAGTGCATTATATAATTAGAAATTGAGACCAATGTGGTATAGACAGAAGAGCAAAGAAAGAGTAGTAATGAGAAAAATATTGGTGAATTTACAATATACCTCTCATGTTGAAAGACTAGGCTAGGCTAGTCTCCATGGCTGAAAAACCATGCTTCCTTTTGTTCTCTGAACC